CTCAACAAATGAACTAATTAAAATGACTTCCTTCCTCCGGCTTGTACGTGGAAAATAATCGAGTAGAGGATGAAAGCTTCCGCAGAACAATTCGTTACCATTTAGGGAATCGGGAGACATACAGCGGCGGGATGAGCGCGACCTCACTTATATTATGAGAACTATATATTTATTGAATGAACTGCTAGATGTCACGTCAGATGGAAGGCCTCAACGGGACGGGGGGTCCATCCAAGGACATCCAAAGGTAGACCGTGAGAATTTGTCCTTGGAAGTTCCTTTGCTGAACGTCCAATGAATGCCCAAAGATGGACTGACACATCGTTTTGTTCGTAATGTCGAACTCTAAATGAAATCATGCGCAGGTCCAATTATAATGTCACACTATCCATATAATGATTGAATTTACTGGGTTTCGACCTAAGATAGGAGATTAGAAGAAAAAAAGGAACGAAATCCCATGATCGGATGCTTGTAACGCCATTCCATAAAACTGTCGCTCAATAAAATGGAAATAATTGAGTGTTCGATGTAGGGAAATTCAGCTCGGATAAAGCTGAAAATGCATGAGAAGATATCGATCCATGGCGATGACATCCTATGTACATCAAATGGATTACCGCTTCTGGACTTATGACCATCGCTGGACAACTAGACTGTCCATGGACGGGTTTTGGATCATCCATGGCTTCTTGGGTAGTAAGGATTGTTGGGCACCATCAGTCTGTTACTTTTCTTGTTAGAAAAAAACTAGAGCAAGCTTCGATATTCTTTTCATTTGGGCAGCGCCATTCTGCACTTGTATCGATAAGTGCAGGCTTCTAAAAATTATGCTGGATAAAAATGTGAAATAATCATGTGAAATTTTGATGATTCTACATGGGGAGGCATCGAAGCTTTATTTCTTATCTGCCCCATTTTCTGCTCTCCCCCTCCCCCTCGATTCTGCTGCCCTTGCTGCAATCGTCTAGTACTAGTATATACTCTTCTACGGTCCACCATGACTCCTGTATTCTTATTCTCGATTTTACGTTGAAGCTTTGGAAAACTGAATCCAAGAAAATTACGACAGAGAGGTATTTCCACCCTAATTAATCCTTTGCCCTCATGAGAAAGACGTCACTCAGCGATTGCATTCTAATTGACAAGAGGAAAAGAACATTTTTGCGCCGACCCGTGTGGCCAGGGAAAAAGGGACCAGAAGTGAGACATGACACAATCAGGTCGTGGTGAAGAATGAAATACAGTGGTACCTCGCATAACGAACGCAATTCGTTCCAGCGGTGCGTTCGTTATGTGAGGTGTTTCTTTATGCGAAACACGATTTCCCATAGACTTCTATGGGAAATCATGTAATCCGTTCCACGTCGCCGCGAAAAATCAAGGAAATTAGGAAAAAATGTTTCACTTTCACTCGCAAACACCTCGCATAACGAACGCACCGCTGGAACGAATTGCGTTCGTTATGCGAGGTACCACTGTAAACTTGTAGCGAAAATACGGCTGTATCATTTCCTTCTGCCCCATCACCTTTTAGGGAAGGAAACGAGGGAAACAGTAGCGACATTCCTCATGTTTGCTCCAATTAGCCCTGCCGTGGTAGATGAAGGCGTTAATTTGCGCGGTGCAAATATATCTGTAATGAACAAGGATGAAACAAGTGGCATGATTCCCACCTCCAGCGAATGAGCGTCATGCAAGCTTTCGCCTATCCATTCGGTAACACAGACCTCAGCCTTACCGTGACGCCTCTCACTGGAACGTCATGAAACTAATTTTCGAATTGTATTTAAAAATAAATCGCCTCTTGACAATTAGGTTTGCTTTGATCACTGTCGCGGATCGAATGCGCCTTTCCCACTGAAAAAAAGGGTATATTTTCATACGTAAAAGTGAGAAAGGGAAGATGCGAGACGTCGATGGAGCTGAATTTTCAGTTACCTTGGACATTCTGGGCGGACACAAAAGGCTGGACGAATTGCAAAAGCTTTATAATTCAAAAAGGAAATATAGCAGGATAATGAAACAACGATGATTATAGACACGATCTGGACCTTTTTTTTAGTTGGTCGCCGTTTAAAAGATGGGGATTCGCTGATCATGGGTATGTTTGAAATCCACACGAAGGTCGTGGTAGAAAAGAAAAGAACTTGAGATTCAAGGCTATAATCCAACGTATGCTTCATTTTCCTCATATGTTTCCTTTTCAATTACAATCAACCCTCGATATACCGCCACTCTCGCTTATCGCGAACTCTTATCCCGAGAAGGAATCTTTCCTAAAGGCTTACCATAGGCTCCCCCGTTATAGCGCCACCGTCGCAGGCCGCCATCCGCCGACACCTTCACTTCACAAACGTGTCTTATTTTATGTAAGTCTTACTCGGTATTGCGCCAATGAGCATACTGTACCGGCCACAATCNCTCAACACTAATCTTCGATTACTGCTCCGCCATATTTGTCGTGCGCTGCCAAAAAGAGGCGATCGAGTGCGATAGAGATTTGGGCATTTCTGGGATCTAAAGTTAGTATTTTAGCAGCCACACGAAAACTAGCTGCTCCTTTTTGCTGCTTTGACGATAGGAGTTAGATATCGTGCAGTTTTCTTGATGCGCCCGACTTTCTTTTCACTTGACTTCAACGCATAAGAAGCTCATGTATTCGAGGCATTTGAAGAGTCCTTGACTCAAGTGGGTAAGCAGTGTAGCATCAGTTGGCGACTCAACAAATTTTAAACGCATAAAAGTACTTTCCCAATTTTCTGCTGATTTTTCCAGGAATCGCCCGAAATATCGACGTATGAACTTCGTTCCAAAGGATCTCATATCGCTGACTTCTCGTCGCATCCCCTCGTGATCGAGTGCGATGAAGATTTCGGTATTTCTGCTGCCTAACGTTTGAATTTCAGCAGGCATGTGAAAATTAACTGCACGACTGATAATTTAACAAGAGAGGGAGATTTCATGCTGCTTCTACAATATTCCTCTCACTAATTTTCTTGTATTGCCGACTTCTAATCGCATCATGAGGCGATGCGATGAGAAGTCGATATGAGATCTTTTGGAACGGCGTTCTTTGGATAACTTTGGGAAAGTACTTTCATGCGTTTCAAATTTGTTATGAATCGCCAACTGATGCTATACTGCTTATCCACTTGTGTCAACCCAAGTAACACTGTTGATTAAACGTTTCCGAAATGTTGTCTATGTTGCTCTATGTTGCAAGTTGATGTACAACATTGATAAAACATTGCTTCAACGGTTTCACTTGGAATGTTGCTGCGACACTTCTACGAATGTTATTGCAACATTTGCATTGAGAGGATGAGGATGTTGACACTCGACATCGACAACGTAGCGACAACATTCCGATACGACATGAACTTAGAAGTTTTAGAGAATCGTAAAGTTGTCCTTGCCACGAGATGGAGGCGTAGGTGTGGCTTTTCTCATGGTACACAAAAGTGCCCTTTCCCCTTTCCCTGGAATCGTCCCGCACAGGAATGGTTAGTACCTTGCTATATGTCTCGATGTGTCTCATTATAGGAATGAATGAACGCGGACACTTCATCACTTATTCGAGACAGATTTATGGGGCCAAGATGAAAAGCCAGCTCGTATTCCCAAGAATAACCCTTTCCAAGAACTCGTTGAATTACGTCATACATATCAGTAGTAACGATGGTAGGGTGCCTGCGATCGAAATACTTCATTTCCTCACCCCAAGAACTAGATGAGGAAAAGAAGGACGGAGTTCGCGGACACTCCATAGAACATTTCGGACGGATCTTTTCCTGGAATGTGCCATTTTTAGCACATACAGGGGAAGACTACCTCCCAAAAATGGACTATGTCTTCTGCCTATACATGATACAGATACAGTATTATGCATGGGTAGGGGTTATACCAGTACAGGCTTCGTCCTGTTAATGGGAACGTCTGGGTACGGAGGTGAAGTATTAATATATGGTACGAAATGATAAAATAAATAATTCAATATTGGCTGAATATCGGTCCAGTTCAGGGCCAGTGAAGCCTATGCTTTTCCATGTAGTAATGCCAATATAGGTCCAAATTAGAAGTCGGTGAAGCAACATTTTCCATCAACATTGCAGCAACATAAGTCCTGAAACGTTTCTGCAACGTATATATAACGAATAAGTGACGATTTGCAACGTCAATGTAATGTTCTTCCGCAACATTTGAGCAACGTTGACGTTTTGGACATTTACACATAGAAGCAACATTGTTCATCAACATTTCCTAAACGTTACCTGAATATCTTCTGTTACTTGGGAAGGACTCTTCATGTGCCTCGAATATCCCATACATGAGCTTATTTAATTCTTATGCGTTGAAGTCAAGTAAAAAGAAAGTCATAAGATAAAAAAAGGCATCAAGAAAACATTGTAGATACTGCACGATATCTGACTCCCACCGTCAAAGTAGCAAAAAGGAGCAGCTAGTTTTCGTGTGGCTGCTAAAATACTAGCTTTAGATCCCAGAAATGCTCAAATCTCCATCGCACTCGATCGCCTTTTTTTGCAGCGCACAACAAATATGGCGGAGCAGTAACCGAAAATTAGTGTTGAAGTAAATAGGCACCGTGCTCGTAATAATGTAACTTAGGATATCATATCAGGCAAACATGAAAGCACCTACTCATGGAAGGCTCCCTCGAGTCCGAACAGATCGATCACGGTTTTCTTCTTGGGACGAGTTGGTTTCTTTCTAACCTGAAGAAATGAGAGCGTGGAGGGAATATCCCTTTCTTTTTTCGTTAAGTTTACAGCGTTCTATCTAGAAAAAGACTTCAGCTTTGAGAGGTATACGAAGGTATACTGCGTATATCAAAATAAAATTTTATAAGGTGAGCGGTTACCTAAGTCAATTTGCGGGAAGAGAATAAGTGGCATATGCTTGCATGGAGTTACTCGGACGGCACAATATAATCAAATCAGAATTTACAAATTCATTGCGGTATTCACCCTATTGAATGCATTTATTTTCCTCCAACTCTCGTCGAATATGAATTGCGAAGGAACTCGCGCAAGGTGCCTATGCTTCACAGAACTGATTTAGAGACGGACACTTCCGACAGCGCAGCTGGGATGTGTACCGTCAGAAACAGCACTATTTTTCAAAAGTGCATTCTTCAAAAGAAACTGTTGCGGGGCAAGAGCATATAATAGTTTTCAAGATATGAGGTAGTGGATCGGTATTATCATTCGCATATTTGTTAATATTTATAAAACTTGCCATGTCCCACTTGGAAAGGACCGATGGAGCGATATAATTTGGCTCGAGCAGTTGTTGAAGACTGACTCGACGGGCTAGTATATCATGAAACGGTTCTGCCGATCGAAGTCGTGCCGGCCGGATGCTCTCATTTCTACGAGGCAGATGTCGGCGACTTCACGTTTTTCAAAACCCTTAAGAACAAAAAAACTGTAATCGACACGAAAGTGCTCCGGATGGAGCAGGCAGAAGAGTCGATTTCACGGAGCCGCCGGTACACACGAGCCAGTTTCACAACGGCTGGTACGCGTAGGCGTTCGAATCGGGAGAAAAATTCGCCTCCATATTGACGTGTTGAAAATCCTCTTCTCTCTTGCCGGTGTCGGTGTCACCGTGTTGCGGGTGGACCCAGGAGTGGATGGTGAAGACGGGACCCGTATCACTGGGCACCGGAGGAGGGGAAGGTGACGGACTCGGACGTCCTCGCTCTCGTTTCATCACGTCCTCGTAGGAAGGCGGCGGGTCGGGTGCGACGGCCGTCGTCCAGTCCACGGTTACAACCTCGCCGTCGTCGAAGTCGACTTCATCCCCAGATGCGATCGTCACCCCGGAAGTGTCGCTCAATCGCCGGCTCATCTATCCACATGCAGAAACTTAAGCATAATGGTTCTCGGCGGAGGAGGGCCAGGGGGCGTTCAATGCCGGAGTAAAGGAAAAGTTAGCTTTTTCTACCCTCGTAGAAAACTGTTTCGGTACGTGATTTGAGCCCTCAAGTGTAGCACATTCATACGTTGACTAGCGTTACTGAATTAACGGAAATTTTCATTCTTTGACCTTCACTTTTCATCGGTGACTCATTCAGGGCCCCATCCTGTTTACTCCGTTTCCACGGGAGTTCACCTTGTACAATCCGAAGCTATGGCTATAGCTCGTGGCTGATGTTGACAAAGTAAGTTGAGGAGCGCATGCGGATTTGTTAAGCACAATTTGTTGAGCGTGGAGTACCATGTGACATTTTACATAATGCTCACAGTAAGGAGGAGTGCCTTTTGGCATTCTGAATCTTCTACACACCTTGAGTAGACCACGTGTCGCTAATCGGAATTTATTCCTCACTGCAGGAACGTTTCCAAATAGATACCGCATGCTTCAGAGGTAAATTATCGCAAACGCATCGCATTGAAGAAGTTGAGACATTGGGAACATTCGGCCGATGACGATAACAGAAACCTTACATACAGTATATAAAACTTCCGGTCATTAAATATTGCTATTTTCTTTCCTAGGAGCATCGATGCTGCTTGTTTGACAGGCAATCGAGGAAGAGAAGAGAAATTAGTGAATTTATGCATGTAGAACAAGGCAACTGGAGGGGAAAGGAGCCACCGCATAACGGACCTGAGTGGAGGACAATCCACGTTTTAGGATACAGATGCGGAAGAGGAAGAAGGCACAGGCAGTCAAAAATCCAACCCCACCAAAGACAGTCATGAAGATTCCAAACTTGAGAGCTGGAGACATGGACTTTCCATCATGCCCGGCAAAGAAGATGGACCCCACACCCACAACGATGAACATGAGTGATGCGAAAAAGACGAGGAGAGACACGTGAAGCAGTTGAGTCCCGGGCTTCACCATTGTGGACTTTGAGAAGGGAAAAATTCCCCGTTCTATCCTCCAACTTCTTCAGTGTTGCTCGCCATGATAGAACAAGGTGCACTCAATTGCAGATAGAGATAAGCCCCATGTAGGGCCTTCACTATCTCGAGATAAGACAGTGCGAATGCATATTAACGGTCCTTGCGCTTGGAGCTGGTTGTGGCGTAGAATTGCCGTCCATGGTATTGAATTATTGTGAAACCACCCATCTCTTTTTTTTTTCAGGGTTTCGACACTGTCGGGCATTCACCTCGATTTCTATGTTCGCCCTGCACGCCATGACCCTTAATCGCTTGGAATTCATCGGCTAAGCCAGGAAAGCAGAATGAAAATCATGGATAGTAAATCACAGACTTTAATGCATTTATAACCACATCTCTGGGTGCATGCCAAAAATCAGTAGACGCCTGTGGTCAAGGTCCACATTAATTTATATTTGGAGGTATTACGGAATCACAGATACCCTAGAATTTCTGAAGTACCTCACGATCCCACTTCAGCATTTCTCTGGTCAACAGAGAGCTATCGTTGCTGACGAGACGTGAGATGGGATTCGTCCTCTGCACTCCTCAGAGAGATAGAGTCGTAAGAAGATGTATCTTCCATGGTGAATACAGGGTTCTCCGATCCCCGTTCCCCTTCGTGATAGGGAGGGGGTGGTCCCCGCGGTAGACCACCAGGGGGAGGGGGTGAAGGTAGCTCCATGCCGTTCTCCCTCGCTCCCTCTCCTTCTTCCTTGTACAGGTCGAAATACGACGGGGGAGCCGTTCGTCGGATGGCTTCCAAATCCATCTCATCCAGTGACGTCCCCGATATGATGCTGATCGAGGATCTCCGCCGGTGAATCAGTCCCCTCCGAGCCAACTGACGACAGACCAACTCGATTACCCTCATGATCTTAATACATTGACATACCGTATATTCAGGGAAATGCAGCAGCCTCGACGTCTCTTCCGTAACAGCATTGATACAAAATAAAAATGAGGAATTTTTTCTTATCGAAGGCAATACCCTAGGAGCGATGGGAACACCACACGGTAGAACATGTGACTTGAATTTTCAAGTCAGCGTTAGGTATGCACGTAACTCCACGGGTTACTGATTGCTAGTTGCGCAGAATGCATGCGCACAGTGAAAATTGCGTTTCTCTATAATTTAATTTAATTTAATTTATTTGCTAATCTTATCAATCGCCAACGTTTACGGGCGGAGATTTCGATAATTATTGGGGGAAAAAAACATGTTACATCACGGACGCCATTGGGTGATTCATCCTCCAAGCACGCTTTCTACCCAAAGTCCATAACATACAACGTGGATTCATATTGGTGGCTGCACATGCGCGAACCGCCTTGTGACTTTCGTCTGTGGATTCTGTGACCTTTGATATCATAGGCCTACATGTGATGGGCTTGAAATAAGCCCGAGGGCATGAACAAGCTTTAAAAGGGGTCCGAAGCCGCACTAGAGGGGGATTCCACGCCAGACAGTTACACAGAACAGTTGTGTCTTAGGATTCCAGACCGGGTGGACCTCCAGAACAGTTGTGCAGAAGACGAGCACTACGCGCCTTCCAGAGACAAGCCTTCCCTTCTTGATGGACATACTCGTCCAGACTTCCTTCAATACACACCAGGACGTGAGAAGTGCATTGTCTCCATATTTACATGATTCTTAATATTGTTAAACTACTCTGTTGATGTTATAATAATCAGTGATTAAAAGGCTCAGGGTGTATAGTGACTGACTCCTGAATCCTTCCTTGTTATCAAATACTAAGGCCGTGGAACAGAGAGATCGAAACCGCCTGGGTCCGAATCACCCGCTACCACTTGCTTCCCCTAAGCTTATTGCATATAATTATATGGGATCTAATTAATTATATTGCATATACTTATATGGGATTATATGGGATATAATTACATGGGATCGGTATCATATAATTATAATAATTTGCCAGCCTCCGAAGAGAAACAGTAAAAAGCACACACCGAACCTGTGACATACACATCCTCCGTAGTCCTTAGAACATTATGCACCGAGGAAGTCATTCTCTCTGATTTTCCTGTCAAGTAGTCTGTGCGAAGAGTGAAAGCGAAGCATTGGCCCACTTGCGTGCTGATTCAATTATTAGTATGATAACCTCATCGCCTCATCCTTTAAAGAATATTACGTTCTTTTCCTCAACCCACCACATGTATGCATTCGCAGTATGGTAATGAAGCAAGAGTTCTCCAGCATATTTCATGCCTTTCCTGTGCGCCTAAGGATAAAGCTTAATGTTCCTTGCTGGAAGGTGCCCAAAAACACTGTGAGCTTGCGGAGCACGTCTTCATCACATTATGGGTTCAAATTATATCAAATCTCAACAGCCTGTGAAACCCATTTCATGAATTTCCTCATGATTTTTATATAAATTATGTGTACATATATATATGCAATTCGCATTATGTAATTTTACATTCTAAATTAATGCCTCTGTTATACTGTTATACTTATGTAAAATTATTGGGAGTATAATCTAAAATATTGGTATTGAGCAGGGAATGAGGTATTGTATTCATGCAAAGTGAAAGAATTCTTAATTTTATATGGGAGATTTTGCTGTCACAACGGATCCTCATTTGGGGATCATGCGAGGGAAAAACTAGGTTAAAGCTGTATAACTGACCTACACAGCCTCTGTCATGGTGAAGGTTTTCGCAGCTATACAAGGTGGCCACAAAGTCCCTTTGCATTAAATATTATTATTATTTTTTTAAATTGTATTTCCAGGTGGGGTTTCAACACGGCAGACATTAGTGAGTTTACGATAGAGGTAAGACTAGTAGCGAGTGCGTGGGTCCATGATCGTGGACCCACACATGGCAACATGCGATAATTCCCTTATCAAGGAGAATATTTCACATTTAAGACTGACAAATATTGAGGAACTCAAAACAGCTGTCCGGAACTGCTTTTTCAGTATGCAGCCTTCCACTTTGGAGAATATGTCAAGAAGAACTTGGGCACAAATCCAACAGTGTGCTGAGAATGGAGGGCAACACACGGAGCTCTTCGAATAGAGGTAAATTATCTTTTTTTTCATGCAAAGGGACTTTGTAGCCAACCTGTAGTATGCAGATCAGAAAAGGTCGAGCAAAACCTACGTTGGAAATCGGATTTTGGAACGTTTACGACTGCATCGTCCAAGGTCTTCCTCGCGCGAACAGTCCCATGGAAGCCTGGCACAATGTATTCCTAGGTGGTCTGGGATGAACTCACCCAACGCTATGGAAATTTCTCGAGTATTTAATTAAGGAGCAGGGACGCCAGGAGGCCCGAGTTTTCCGAGTGCAGGCACTCTGTCCATCCGCAGCCTCGGGAAAAAAAAACATGGCAGCTGATGATCGCCTCCCGACCTCGGTTGAATAGCGGCAGTAAATTGATGCCCTTTCATATTTGCACGGTATTGCGCACAATCTTCAGTTTTGAACTTCATCTGACAATCCCCGGGTTTCCCCATTATGAGACCATTATTAACCTGCTTTATTTCATCTCCATCAGGACGACTCCAGGACGACTTATACTGCGAAAGTGGATGCAGCGGAAAGGCTATCACAGGGAAATGACATACAGTTAATTAACGCATATGGATACATTGTCTGCAGCGAATTGTCGGCAGTCATTTATCTGATATGGAAATGACTTTAAGTGAAATGACGTGGAGCCGTTTTCTCTGTAGAATATTCATTTCACGCCCTTAAAACATTATTATACTGAAATTCCATGAAATCTATGAAAATTTCGTATTCCATGAAACACTACTATGAGTTGGTGTACCAAAGTTATCAATATCTTTCAACTCCTTGGTGGTTTCTTTGGCGATGAGTACGTAATGTACCGGGTGTTGCACACCCAAGTAACACAGTATATTGATGAAACGTTTTCGAAATGTTGCCTATGTTGCTCTATGTTGCAAGTTGCTGTACAACATTGAGAAAACATTGCTTCAATGTTTTCACTTGGAATGTTGCTGCAACACTTCTACAAATGTCATTCCAACATTAGCTATCAACATTGAGAGAATGTTGACACTCTTGACATGGACAACGTAGCGACAACATTCTGATACAACATGGACTTAGGAGTTTTAGAGAATTGTAAAGTTGTCCTCCTTGCCACGAGATGGAGACGTAAGTCTCGTTTTCTCACAGTACACACAAGTGCCCTTCTCCCTTTTCCTGGAATAGTCCCGCACAGGAATGTCTAGTACCTTGCCATATGTCTCACATTGTTTCATTATAGGAATCAATGAACACAGACACTTCATCTTCTGTTATCTTCATTTTCTAGACAGATTAATGGGGTCAAGATAGAAAAAGCTCATATTCCCAAAATGAACCCTTTCCAAGAACGGGACAATAACAACGATGGTAGAGACTGCGATCTCAATACTTCATTTCCTCATTCTGGGTACTAGCTGAGGAAACGAAGTATTGATCTTGTGGACACTCCATATAACATTGCGGTCGGACCTTTTCTCCTGTATTGTGCAATTTAGTACATCCAGGGGAAGATCACCTCCAAAAATGTAC